CAGATAACCAAAGCTTTTTAGCCTTTAAAGGGCTTCTACAGCAAACCTACAATTTATTAAAAAAACAAAAAAAAACCAAAAAAACCCAAACCGGTTTATTTTTAGATTCGACTTGCCATTGCTGCAGCCTGATGCAAAGTGGGGTGCAATTGCTTTTCCGAGGCCACCGGATCGGGGCAGGCTCCAGGTGTTGGTCTGGAAAGCTGAGACAGGTAAGTGAATATTTCCTTTAGCGCCGTCTTCCCAGAATCTGGAAGCTGACCCTGGCAGCTGGGAGACTTTTTGCTCCTTTCCCTGCTGTTTTATGTTGTCGGTGATATCCCCGCAGATGAGAGACTTCGCTGCATCCGGAGTTTGCATTCAAAGCAGAGACTAATTGTGAAGAACGTTTCAGAATAAACACATTTCTCCTCCAACGTAGTTTGTTTGTAAGGAAAAAAAATATATAAAGGAGGTTAAACGGGATAATTTGTTTTCTTTCTTGTCTTTTACTACATAACGCACTAGAGTTTCGTTTCGAAATAGAGCCATCCTTAGCAGGAGGCGCGATGCAAAATTTCGGCCTGCAACTACAACACTGATTTGAGCAACAAATGCCCCTGAAGCCTTGCTGACATCTTAGAATCATCTGATAATACAGGGAAAAAAAAAATTATAAAATAACGAGATGATTCAGAAACTCGCGTCCCTCTTTCGGAGGTGACCCAAAAACTGAGCAGCTTCTGAAGCGGAGACTTCAGGTCCTGGGTCAGTTTTAAGCGCTATTACAAGCTGCGGCTGAAGCGTTTGCAGCCGAACACAAATTTCCAGGCTTAAATTGCCTTCTTCCTGTCCCGGGATGCCAGGGCTTTGCACAGCTGAAATTGCACAGCCCTTTTCCCCCGGATCCTCTTACTTCTTCTAGCGCTCAAAGCCCCGTTGCTCCGGGCACCCCTTTGCTGCTTTCTGTCAGCCTGTGCTGTGCTCGGCAGCCTCTTCCGAGGCGCGTTTTGAGCCCCGCTCCCCTCTCCGCCTTAGCGGGATGGTTTCACGACAAATCCCGGTTTGTGCATTCCCAGCTCACCCCTAGCAGAGCCAGAGGTATGTTTCATCCTTCCCTCCCTCCCCCCCCCCCCCCCGCTCCCCCCCTCTTCTCACTCTTTGCCCTTGCTGCTGCTAAGTAACACAAGGCCTACCTCAGCTTCTCCTAAAGCCGCTTAGCTTATGTGACATATTAATACACAGAGGGTTGATGCTTATAGAGTGTTTGTTCCATTAAAGTTGATGTTGGTGTATGGACCTTGAGTGTTATGTCACCTTAATCCACACCGAGGGGATTTG